GCTGGCACACGGACGCCCCAGGTTCTTATGGCCGGGTAAATTAGAAGCTCTATGTCCGCATTAGGTTCCGGTTGCCGTAGCGAAATAAGCGCCGAAATGGAATCTTGTGAAATTACTCGTCGAGCTTGGGGCGATCGTGGGGCTGTCTCTTATACACATCTCGACGTTCGGGACAGACACGGCCGAATATGAAAAATGCTTAAAAAAATGCCCCCTCCCTTCCCCCCCTTATGGGGGGAAGGGAGGGGGCATTTCAATCTCTGAACGTTATATANCTCGTGGGAAAAACTGAACAAATTTTCCTTCATAATTTAAATTTTCCAGTCAAATACGTCATAATTTAAGGAAATTGTTTAAAGCTCTCTGAAAGCATCAAAAACTATGAATGAGACAAAACTATAATACTAACTTTTCGATAAGCATTGAGCAATAAACACTCTTCACTAGGTACTGGTCGAGTCACGGTTCGATGTAAACTGGCGCCTTAGCTGCAACGGTTAATGCTCAGTCCGGATGGGGGGTGCGGGAGGTAGACCCCCACATACCCGCATATACCCCCTTATGGCGGGAACTTCGATTGTTCGTGCGTTTAACCTTGTTCAGCATCTGACCAGCCCCATCATGCGATAGCGTCATTAGCGTTTGACCAGGGGCATCATGACAAGCTTGACCAGCTGCTCTCTTTAATCATATTACGCAGATTTGGCCTACCGGGCAATTGACTTCCAAAAGAAGCTGGTAAATAGAAGCAAAATACCCTACGTGGCCGACTTGCTCCTGATTCACCCCTAAGCCGAATATAGTTCCTCTAAAACGACCTTAATCGGCACGAAAATTTTGACAGGGTGCTCCTGATTCACCCCTAAGCCGAATATAGTTCCTCTAAAACGACCTTAATCGGCACGAAAATTTTGACAGGGTGAGGCTCCACACATCTTTTAGCCCGCCCATGACACTTGTTTGCTAACATTTCTTTTGTTTATCCTGCTTGGATCATCTCACATTGCGCTCACGGTGGGCCTGGGACGCTTTATTTACGTCGAGTCCACCCGGTGTCTCGGCTATATATGCTCCTTTAGTTCTTAGAAGTTCCCTTTTCCAATTTTTGTGTGACTGATTTAATTTCGTATTAAAAAATGCCCAAATGTTGTTTAACCTTCAAAAATTAACTTTCTGAATGGTGTATTTCCATGATCTCTATACTTACTCGCCGAAGCATTTTGATGGAACATTGATGGTTCTAAGGTCCGTGTATTGATGCGTCCCCGCACTGCATGGGCCTGGTTGCGTGACTCGTGACGCTTTTACTGGTGCATGGATGTTCTAAGGAAGCCACTAAAATGAGCCTTCTAACAGGTCCTGTACAGGTAGACCATCAATCTTGCAGTGGCTCTATGACACTTGCTTTGAATGAACTGCTTCACTTCACTGAAGTCTTTCATGGGGCTCGCCTGACACCCTCTAATGCAACTATAAATCACGTCTGACGTCGTCACAAAATGGCACCACTTTGCGTCGTATTTCGACCTTGTGCGGTTCAGCTTTACTCACATTTACGTCAGAAGTCTCCAGAAAGACCAACTTTCACGCTAGCGAGTTTTTTAGGGTTTTTAATCATAGAAAAACGTCGAATGAGTCAATTTTGTATTGAAATTTAGGATGAAAATGCACGATCTTAAATTATTATTATTTAATAATATGCCCCCGTACATTTTTAAATTCGTTACATTTCTTCATACAAAAGAATCGTAACGCGTGGTTACATTTCTTCATACAATTTTAATCTTGCTTGAATATGAGATACATTAACTTTATTTACGTTGTGCAGTTTCCTCTACATCTAGCTCTATTAACACTTTTCTAGTTCAGATCAGAACTGCGTTTTGCAAATGAGGATAATCTTGACAGAAATCCGGTAAATGTTTTTATTACCTTAGTTCTAGCTCAGATTCGTTGAATAATACGTGTCGTGCTGATTCTTACATGACCATGTCAACCGAGTTATTTTATGGAAAAGTCGCTTGCATCAGCGATATCTTATATATAGTACATGCATGTATAGTGCTCAACTCTAAACACAACCCATGCCAATTTGAGTTGAGAAATCCCCATACATTAAAAAAATATCTGTATATTACCAGCCCCCCAACTTGTACTAGTCATTGAGGACCTATTAAAATGCAATAAAATAGAAAAGGAGCCACCATATATTCCCTTCATATTGAAGTCTATTTTGCGTTTTTAGAACATTTTCTCATTTATGGAAAAAATGCATTATTGTGCTCGCCATGTCCGTCTGTCTGTCCGTCCGTCTGTCTGTCCGTGACCTTAAGTTTTCGTCGACGAGAAATGCGCTCTCTGTCACTCACTGCAGTGAGTACTGAGTTATATTTTTTATGCTTTTGCATAAATTCTTGGACGCATTTTTGTCACACCATTGCTGGAGAATTATACTTCACAGAGATTTTTTCGTAACTATTTTATTTTAGCCCAACCTAAACTGGTAATTTAAAATAATTTCAACTTTCGTGTTAATTTGATTTACATCCTATATTTTCTAATGTGAAGTATAAAAAGAACCCACTTTTGTCATAAAAACATTTCTAATTCTATTTAGACACAGTATGCTTATTAATAATAAAATTTCATGTTTAACATTATTTTTGGCATAAACCACCTCCATAAAACCACTTTAAAAAATTAATCATAGTCATAAATAAAAGCCGACAGTCAAGTATTCGAAATGAGGAGAACAAATTCCGTAGACTTTTGCCTGTTTTGTCATGCAACCAGTTGATATTTTAGCTCGTTAAATAGACTTGAATCTTGACATACTTTCCAAAAGAATGCCGGTAATGAAGAAAAAATATAAACCTTCAAGGTATATATTACTTTTAAAGTCAAAATGCACTCGGATAATTTTTTTATTTCTAGAGTTAGCCTTATATATTTTGTGGATTGATTCTTGTAGGCAATAATTACGTGCCCGTTATTCATAATCATATCTTTAAAATTAACGTTTATGTTAATGATTCATTGCTCGTGCAATGTTGTATCACTTATGTACCAGTTTCTTCGTTCTTTATTATTGATTTACTGATTGTTATTTTCTGCAGTACGTCGTTGCAATGAACGGTCGGTCTTATTACAATTTCGTCAATATGTCTCGAGCGTAGTTCATGTCTATAATGAGGCTATCATTTTATTTCCATGCAACCCTACTTTCTGTGAGATGTGAGATTTACATCTTTCACTCTCATCTTTTTAGCGCATTTTCTCATTTATGGAAAAAATGCACTATTGTGCTCGCCATGTCCGTCCGTCCGTCTGTCTGTCCGTCTGTCCGTGACCTCAAGTTTTTGTCGATGAGAAAATGCGCTCTCTGTCACTCACTGCAGTGAGTACTGAGTTATATTTTTTTAATAAAACGTGATGAAATAATTGGCGTCAGCCCCCAGGCGTTTGAATTTTAGAGAAGCGTGCAAACTGACGGTGGACATCGATTAGTGAGACCTTTTTTGACCTTTTTGCGCTCTATTCTTTGATGCTATCTGTAGTACACACATATATAGATGTAAACTATGAATAAAGAGATAATAAATGAAAATAGATTGTGCTAAATAGATGGCTCAATGATTTAGAGATAAATGGGTCACTGGGTTACATCTTTCGCTGTCTAGATTATTTTCTTTTCCGAGAAAATGAGTCTGAAGTTGTAGTTCACACTCGCAAGCTATCAGGAGATAACGGTGCGTCGTCATAATACCTCCTAATATTGCAGGAACGCGCGCTCCAAACAAGCTGTAGAAGCAGTCTTGCTATATTTTATAATAATAATAATAGCGGTTTCAGCGTTTATTAGGCCTGTCGGCCTGTCGCCGATTCTTAACATCGCAGAACATTCACAGCATTTTGAGGTCTCGAACTCGTAACGCACTGCTACAATTCTGCTGTGCTTAACCGCCCGGTTTAGAATACAAAATTACTTAGTGCGACAACAGTGGTCATGATTGTTTAACGTAGACTTCGATCGATATTGAATTTCATAAATCTCTTCTACCTCATACAATGGCTGATAGATTATTTGAATGGCGGTGTCTTCCATGAATAAATAAATCAGATTTCATTCTGTTAGGCCTCTTCTTTGGTGTTGTTTCTTTACGATTGAAGTCTTAAATCATTTTCAAAACAGCCCTCGCTCAAAGAAATCAAAGTATTTGTATTAACCTTTTTACTCTACGATTTAATGAAATTCTTGAAATTCATTCCACAAAACTAAAAGCATCTCCATTAGAGATTTTTTGTCGACGTGTAGCAAAACGTAAGTATATACGTTATACGATCTGTTGAGGTATCAACTGTTGTGTGAATAAATAACTTCTGTTTCGTGTTTGGCATGAGACCCATTACCCACTCCACATTGATAACGGCTGATAAGGTTCGCTTGTAATCATTAGGATATGGCACTCCGCAAGCCAGAGGCTTTAGATAAAGACACTATCTTCTTTATCAGTACTAAAGCCTGAGATAACCGTTTTGTGCACATTGTTCACTGTAGTCACTGGGGCATTGTTGATTCGGCGTTTACCTAACCATGCGCGTGAGCTCATTGGCATTCTTTTTTAAACACTTGCTTGACAAATACTATAGTTAAGCCCGAGTGACAGCTCGTTTCTAACAAGGGAATCAAATTGTGAGAATCAAGTGAGTTACAAGTCTTCCCAATTGCTGATTTCCGTAAATTGTTCAGAAAGTTATTCGAAAATGTTAGGAACTTCATTCCCATTCCAATCTAGTTAGTTTTAACGTGTGGGGTATTCATACGTAGTTTGATATTTTTACTTATATTTTACTAGATTTATATATGTATTTACGACATGCTTTTACATTAATCCAATTTCGTTCCTGAACCTCCATTTGCTATCGATTTTTTCGAGTTATTAAAAGCATGTTACAAGCATCTCAACTTCATTGTTCTAATGAATTTTATTTGTTTTCAGGGGTGGAGTGCTCCCGAACGTCTCGAAGACGAGAAGACAGACCTCTGCCCCTGACGCCTCGACCAAGCTTGCTCACGCCGTCGGCATCTTCTGTGGTGCCCTTCACAACGAAACCATCGCTGCCTTCTACTACATCTACTTCTTCTTCGCCCTCTCCTACTCATTCTGCAAGAGCTGAAAATTTAAGTAGTTCAGTTCCTGTACTCAATAAATTGGCCAATCCCACTGGCCCTACTGGTCTAAATATCCCACTATCGTACAGTGGTCCCCATAGAATAAATCAATCTCATAATAGAATACCTTCCGTTAATACAACTTCGTCTGATCTCGGGAAAGCGCCAAGCACCAAGTCCTTAATTCGAGAGGCCCACATTCCAGACGATAATTTGACTGTTAGGGCTTGTGCTTCCCTCCATCCATGCACATCAACCTCTGTTAAACAAGCAAATAATCCTTTGGGCTCCGAACTTCGGTCCACTTCTCCCATCACTCGGAAGTTGCCATCATCAACGACACTCACAACAACATCACCTCCTTTTTCGCGATCTCATCATCCTACTGTTACCTTTACGTCTACGCTTTCCAGTTTATCGAGTCGAACTGTGTTCTCGGCGTCGCCTCTTAACAGGCTTCCTGCTTCAACTACCCTCACAACGACCAGTGCACCGCCGTCACGTTTGAACTGCTCTACTACTATCACAAGCAACAGTGCACCTACTTCTCGTCTACCATCAAGTACCGTCATAACCACAAGTTCACCATTGGTTCCCAGCACTCCTTCTAATTCACCGCAGTGTCTCTCTTCTGTCGCATTCTTGACGTCTAAGAAATGTCTGAACGCTTCAAATAATAACCAACTTTCCTGCAACAGTGGGGACGTGTTACTTGGCAGTACAAATTCTGTTCCTAAATCCAAGAACTCTTCCAATTCGGTTGTAAAAAATAACATTATAAGTACAAAAACTTCTCCGAGCTCTTGTTCAGGGGCTTTTCTTAGTAATCATTTTGTTGATGAAGTTTCCAATGTATCTACTCAGAGCTCTTCCAAATCAACTGTTCCATCGTCTCGTACAGTCCAGCGTGTTTTGCCTTCTGATTTACCCAACATACCTATTGTTTTAGAAGATTGTCGCACTTCGATACCCGCGCCTACGACGTCTACCGTTTCCTCAAATTCTTCATCCACTACTTGCTCCTCTGAAACTATTACTTCAAGTCCAGGGAATGATCAAACTTGCCGGACGTCACCATCAATTTCCAATTTTTGTAACAAAGTTTCTTCTGCTTCGCAAGATTTGGGCCAAAACGAGGATAGAGATCATTCTCAAGCTTCTTATGTTACTCATGTGAATTCTGATGATGTGAAATGTACCAAAGTCAAATTGAGGAATTCGAGGGATTCTGAAATAATTGATGAGATACCTAAAGATTCTACGCATGACGAGTGTGATGTTATTGCAGTTTTAAACACCACGAAAAGTCCCGATAATCCAGCACCAAGTATAAAGAATTCAGAAATCATTGATCGTATTGGTGAATGCTCTTCGAATACGAATTCTGAGAAGAGTTGTAACGGTGAATTTAGCACCATTTCACCCGGTAGCGTAATTGCACCACAGTGCTCTGCCAATTCTGCCAGTGTCTCCACCTGCTCAACTTCTAGAGAGTCAAGATATCTCGTGAACGCTAGGAATGGTGCAGGGGTGAACACTCACGGTAGAGCAACTGTGTACAGAGTGGGTAGCGGTGGCGTAACTGGGAGCGTAGTGGCGGGAGTCAGCGGGAGAGCAGTGAGTATTACGGCGACCAGTGGACCGGCTCCTCATGCACCCACCCGTCCTGCATCCCCTCCTTCGGTGAGCATTACGGCCGTGCTCAGACCTCAGCCTCATCATCAGTCTGCAGCACACCATGCTGCCTTGTCATCTACTGCACCTTTCTCCTGTAGCTCTCCTTCCCCAGCAACTCCTGCTCAGCACTTATCCCCCGTGCCAGTCTCGTCTACCAGCCAACCCCTCATGCCCCCGCAGCCCAGGATGGATGATGGCTCCAGCGACTCAGGCGTGAGTGTGTCTGAGCCTCGCTCTGTATCTCGATCGTCTGTACTCAGTGACGAACGTTCATCGTCAGTTGAAGTAAAGCCAAACACTCCCACCCCTCAACATAATACGAAAAGTTTCTTACAAGCCGCTGCACAACTATCGTCAAGCATTGCTCATAACAACAGCGGCGGCAATCTAAGTAACCCTGGTGGTCCTGCTTCGAGTTTCGCCCTGGACCACCGCAATAACAAGGAGGTGAGAGTGTGGCGGGATCCGGCTTTGCTCTCGCAGTCTGAGCAAGCCGTCCGCCACATACACTCCCTCCAACATCCCATGTCCTATCAGCCCCATGCTCCTCCACCACCACATCATCCCTCGCCACATGCTACGCCTGCTCACCCATCCCTAGTGGCGGCGGCAGCAGCGGCTGCGCTGCCCCCTGGGATCGGCTTCCCTCATGGACATCCGATGCATTTGGCTGGTCTACAGCCTCCACTTAGCGCTGCTGCCGCAGCTTTCTACGCCAGCCAGAACAATATGTGGAAACAACTAGCGGGAGTGCCTCCTGCCGCTATGCATCCCTCTTACCATGGTATTCTTCCTCACGCTGGCGTTGCGCAAGAAGAAGCCTTCAGAGAGTTCGAAAGGAGTCAACAGGACAGAGCTCTTAGGTGAGTAAATTCGTTTTCCCAATATTTTCCCTTAATTCTGTTGGATCAAGATGTAAACTTTAGATTTCTCCTCTGAGATTTTTCCTAGTTGGATTATCATATCTATTTACAATCTGTCAATAACATTTTTCCTACAAATTTGTACCATTATCATCCATCGCAGTTTTCATTTTTATTTTTAACATTGAAATGAAGTCTTTGATCGACTACTATGAATTTTTTATCCACGCCTTTCAAAGGACGAAATTGTTATGAAAACTTTCCATTGTTATTTTTGAGCCGTAGTTTAAAACATTTTAAACCTCTCTGAGTGGTGCTTTCTTCGAATACCGATCACATGATACCGATTATTCGAATTCCGATCACAACTAATCTTGAATTCGATTGTCTATCTAAGTGACGAGCTTTATCTGTTATAGCTCTTATAACGTCAAGTAAATTGAAGATATTTTATGCCATTGAATGTCAATTGACGGATGCTTTTGTAATATGAATGATATCTCAGAAAACGGTATTCTAGTTGGTTTATCATCGAAATTTCTCTCATGGAGCGTAGAGACTCGTCTTATCACCGGTCGGTAAGGGTTGAAGTTAGAGGCTGGCTGGTAGTACTTTTTATCTAATCTTATCAACTCGTCTCGAGTTTTATCGCCTCTCAAAGGACTTGGAAAATGCAATTATTTTCTGGTTATTCATTATCTTTACGTGTTTTCTTTATTAATTTATCATTGAAAAGCTACTTGCACTTTCCTACCACCGTAAACTGGGGTAACTTAGACTCCCGGGGTAACTTAGACCACTTTTCGTTTTTTTAACAAAAGCCCCCAAAACTCAAAAACTATTTGACATAAAAAATTCTGTCAATGGGCATTAAAGGCCTAATACTGAGGCTACGTAACACAATAGAAAGATTTAAAAAGTTTGCATATCTAATAGGTTAAAAAATTAAAAATGTGACCCATGAAAAAAAGCTATTATTTAAAGCCTGTCAGAGTACCCCCTCCAATTTTTTTATTTTTTGGCAAAATAACTCCAGGTTTTGATGCATTGTAGTACAACTCTTCTAGTTACATATGCAACAAACAAATTTTAGGAAAGTCTCATAGTTTGCAAATGGGGGGCGCCGCCCCACAATGGGGGAACTTAGACCACCTGGGGGGCGGGACCCCCCATTTGCAAACTATGAAACTTTCCTCAAATTTGTCATTTGCATATGTAACTAGAAGTGTTCTACTACAATGCACCAAAACCCGAAGTTATTTGGAGTTATTTACCAAAAAATATAATTGATTTTACCAAACAGTCTAAGATACCCCCAGAGCTGGGATAAAAGAGACCATCGATTTTTTTTAAATTACATCAAAACTATGAGAGGCAGGAGCCAGCAATTTATGGTGAGTAAAGCTAGAGTATAGACCTGTATTTTGCATGTTTCAATTTAAGTTTAACTTATCTAGTAAAAAAATGGCATCATTTTATAAAAAAAAGTGGTCTAAGTTACCCCAGTTTACGGCATTACTTTTCTTTTCTTATAGGTTGTCGTTCAGCCATTTTCCTCAAAAATTACCTAGATTTCAGCGATGAAAATATTAGTATGTTATTTGATCCTGTTCAGCTGGCCCTCCCAGTGTTGTCGAATGTTGTCTCTCGGTTAGGTAGCATCGTAGGAAACGATTAACTTTCGAGTTTCTTATTTGGAGAAAGTTGGTGAAATTCACACTCGGGTAAGGGCTGAAAAGGGTTTATCATGTAACGACACACACACATTTTTGACGAATTGCTAATTTTATGTTGCTAGTCCAATCATTTTTAGATAAGATTTATTTGATTAATAGCGATGTGTCAGTGTGTAATGCGTCGTGCACAGTTTTAAATCTTAAGTCTTAAGTTCTCTTTCACAGTTCACTTCATTTATTGAATTTTGGAACGTTTTGAAAAATATCTCAGTCTCTGCAGTTATTGCACCATTTTCTGTTAACGTAAGGAAAGAAATCGTCTATCGTTAGTTGTGGACGATAACAGATAGAGAACGCTTCGTCTCTGTTTGTGATATACGTGTATTTCAAGAAACTATATTGATTCACCCATTGATTGGTTCTATAATTTGTTATTTAGAATAATATGTGTGAGTAATTACCAAGTTTTTCTCCACGTTTCGTTGGGGTGATTTTATTCCATGACTTGAAGTGACGTGTGCGAAAGATAGTCGGAACTCGGGATGAATGTTTGCCTTCACATCATTAAAAGCTCTTGTACCTACATTAGGTGTTAAAAAACTAAAATTTCAGTTTTTTCTAGTCCACGTTTTTCTAACGCTTACACTTTTTACTGAGGTTTGGACTCTAAAATGTAAGGGAAGGATTCTAAACATTTCAATTTTCTTTTGGTTGGGCAAAAAAGAATATAGTTTTCTTGACCAAGTCTAAGCAATCGAGTTGTTGGAGACACCCGACCTGTCAACTGGTTTGGTCATGCGATTATTCCATGAAGAAGCTGTTCTGCCAGGTTTGCTTTTCCACTCGTTTCCCTCCATCCACCATCCCGCCGTAGTTATGATACCTAACCCGTTTTGGGCCCTGGGGCTGCAGCCCTGATCCTGTCTTGCCCTACAACCGGTCCACACCTCTCCGTTGGCTGACTTTTTCTACTTTTTTTACTTCGTTGCCGAATTACCTACTGATGTTTAGTCAATAGAATCCTCCGCGTTCTATCTGCACCAAGTCTGACGTTATCATTTATGTATTCAATTAGTTATTTTTATTTAACGTGTGGTAATTGTTTTAAATCCGATATAGGATGGCATGTTGTTCATAATTTGACTTGAAATGATTAAGCATTCGCAGGTTTGATGATTTTCGGATAAAAAAAAAACTTACGAGACTAGGTGGCAATTTACCACCGCACCTTATAAAAGACATGTGAAACTAATTACGCACATCATAAGTTCTTCTTGTTTATTCTCATCGCCCAAGTTTCCAGCTATTCTTAGTAAATGAGGTAAATATGGAAACTGTTTTCAGATCACTGTTCCTTGAAGGGTTAAAATTGATTTCAAAACTGTAGCTTCATTCAGTACAACGTTTTGCCTGTTTGCCTGATGACTACTCTTCCGTTGAGAGATTTATCACTTCAAGTTCTAAATAATAGCTCCAGATCTTGCTCAACGTATGAGATATAAACTCCAGCGTCTCGTTGTTTCTCTAGGGTCTTCAACTGCAATAATTATAAATATCTTGATACTTTAGCAGGCGCTGATCTTACTTTGGAAAGCATGACCAGTGCTTGTACTACCATTCTATAGAATGCTGGCATCACATCGCTCTGCGTTGCTAGGAAATTACTTTTACTTTGCAACCATTGGTAGGATTTTAAAATCATGGCCTCCGCGAGTTAAAGCGCGTCAGTCTGATCTTGACCGTCGTGCTATGAGTGTGCTTCTTAAGTTCCTCTTTAGAATTGTCGATAAGCTTGTCTGTCAAGACACTATATATTGTTTAGCACCGTAATAGTATATATCTTATACTTCTCCTGTTACAAAGTAGTGAAATAAACGCGCTGAATAACTGAGTTGAATATTTGGCTGGTAGCCTAGTTCGTATGAATCGGTGAATTACAAAATTTCGTCGTAGGAATTGGTAACTTCGTTAATTGGTAAGTTTTAATGAGATTAAATTAATGTTCTTTGTCAGAGATAATTTCATATCCTAGGCAAAAACCTATTCGTGATGAAGCTTGAAGTTCATGAACGTGCATTTTTTGACGTCGTCTTTCTAATCGTAATGACTGAAAAAGGTATTTCCCATCCCATATGCTCACAACCATGAACCCTAAGTGCTGTTTGCCTAGACCCTAGAGCACGTAGGTTCCTCGATGGTGCGATGGGAAGGAAGCGACTGATTACGTGGCAGCGGTATAGCTCTAACACCTGCCATCACTTCCTCTTACTTGCATTCCGCGCAGTATTGCTTTACATCTTTTTTATCGGAATGTTTTTGGTACCGCATCAATGATCCAAGAGCACAGGGTCTTGTGTAGCTGCAATAACGCCTTCAAATTCAGAGTCTCTTGTTGCTGAAACAGTGTAATAGCTCTAATTTTTTACCCTCTGAGATTGTCAACAGCAGATGAAACAGCGTCAACAGTGCTTAATCGCGCACCAATTTGTTGACCCTTCGTGTTGCCGTAATATTGATATAGATTGACTAAGTAACCGAAAATCAATATAGTTAGCCTATAAATAGATAAAGATTTAAATTCAATGGTCCCCTCATGGTTCATTTTGTGATTGGAGCTCTGGATCTTGAAATTGATGTCGGTGCAACGATGCGTCTTTGATTTAATGTGTGAAGAAATATAGCATTGCCTTTGCATTTCTGCCTATAATTTCTATATATTATTTAGAGATCTTTCCTAGTCTTAAGTTTTGTTTTATGACCATGTGAGTATCTATTATATTGCTGTCATGCCATGGTGCAAACGAATCGATTGTAAACTCTTCATCATCTGTTCGCCGTAGTCTACATTGGTGCTTACGTCATGGCTTGGTGCGATTTTCGCAATCTTCGCTCTGCACTGAGCGGGGAAAGAGCGCAATTCTTGACATCTGAAATACCGAAACTCTGCCGGAGACAATTCATTCTGGTTTGAGAGCGCTTCTTGAACTATTATTAGATCCAGATGCGTTTTTTCCTAATTTCTATCTATCGGTTCAATTTTAAAAATTTTACTGACGACTTATTTTGTGTCCCGGTTGTCGAGTTCCAACAAAGGTGATGCTACTATTTTGTCACGTAAAGATCCTTACTTTCTTCTTACCATCTCGACTATTTCTGTGGTAAAAGTCGTCAGCAGGCGGTATTTAGTTGTTACTAATTTGTCCATCATACCAACTTGTCAGGTTCAAAAATAAGACTGCACAGACCGGTAGCGTTGGTCTGGTCCCGGCAGTGCGACACCAGACAAGCTTGTATACCCCTCCACGGGCGTCCTGCGAGTTCAGT